TACAAAATGTTTTTGCCTATTAGTATAATAAGACACTGATTACTGAAATAATATGATATTTGATCAAGCACATAAAATTCCTACATATTCAAATTTACTTCTGTGGAATTGATATGCGTGAAATAAAAACTGAATATCAAAGTTACTTATTATTTTAGTTCATGGAGCAATCTAAATATCAATCAAATTATATAATTTTCTTTTTTTCCTGTTTTTGCTATTCAGAAGGAAATAAATTGAAGAAATAAAAGCTAAACAGTTCATCTTTGCCAACTATGGATTTCAGAAGAGAGAAGTTTTGAAAAAAATTTGTCCCTTCATAATAGGCCACTTGAAGTATTCTACATAAACTACAACATTTATGAATCCATTCCCTTGCTTTTCTGAAGTGTTAGTATAATATATAAACTTTCAAATTTGGTTTTCTCATAAAAATGAAACATTATAGTGCCTCAATAATTGAGTGTTTACATAATCTAATTGCACAACACTGTGTTTAAGCTGTCTGTATTTGCAGGGGAGTCACTTCATAGAAGAGTTAGGACGGGAGGTCACAGAATTTAAAGAAAGGAAACAATAACAATAGTCACTTTTATAGGATTTAATTGTACCTGTTTTTCATACTTTCCCTTCTAGTATTGTACAGCACACCAAGGAATTTTGACTGTTGAAAGTAAAATGCTATTTGTGGTCCCCACCCAGGGTGTGGAGTGCTGTTCATACTATACACAAAATACTGGTTCCAAGTCAGTCTCTCATAATCAGGAATATGTTGCCAACCCACAGAGCAATGGATAAGGAGTGTGTGGTAATTACATCACAAGACAGATGGAGACAGATACTCCGATTTGAAAATAGACAATTTCTCAGATCTCAGATGGACTGGAGAGAGGTAGAAAAAATATACTGGGGGCAAGGAAGAAAGGAAGAGAGTACAAGAATAAGCAGTCCTATGCTGAGGTGAAAAAATGAAATTAAAAAAATATAGCAAAATAAGAGAGAGTGGCATCAAAATTTAAAATTAGTTTCCAGGAAAGAAAATCTAAGTTGTGTTTCTTACTGCTCCCTCTGCTTTCGGTAGAGGATTCTCTGACAGGTTAACTTACTAGTATAGTAATAATCTTAAGTCTATAATTTTGAAACTTTATTATTTCTTCCTTGAGATCTTTTTATTCCTTTCTTTTGTTCCCCCAAAAGTCAGAGGACTCAATGCTAACCATTTTGAAGATAAGTTTACTCCCTGATCTCGCTAGCTACAGGAGAACCATTTCACAGATCCTACCTTGGAACCCCACCAAAACACTACCTACAACAAGAGGGCATGTGATACAGTGGAGCTCTACCTCAGCCCCTGTCTATTCAGGGTGTTTTATGACTCATTTTGAGCCTTACTTTAGTAATACTATCTTATTGTATTAAAAATTATGTAATTTTATTAGTAAGAGACTTAAGAGATTTGTTAGGCAGTTACCTGAATGTCCAGTTTCCCAGGCACTAAAAAGATTTTCAAAAAAATGTCCCCAGTTTTTGCTGGAAACTAGAATAGCAGAGTGGAGAAAGTCTTATTCTCGGTCTCAAGAGACCTGGATTCTAAACACAGCTCTATATGAATTATGTATCTCCTTTGGCAAAATAGCCCACTTTGGGTCTCTGAAAATGAGACACCTGTTTGAAATGGGTATCCAGATTCCTTCCATCCAAATGTCTAGTCTCTCTTGTGCTAGTTTGATGTTGTTAACTGAGGGGATGCTGTGCAGATGATTTAGATAAAATCTCCTTTCAAGAGGATGGGGCCTGAGCTAAGGAACAGGCTATACATTTGAGGACAAAGGAGACACCATCTTTACTACCAGTTCAATGATCATCCTTGCATGCCCCAAAGAACAAACTAAAATTTAGTGATTTCTTTTCTTCCCATTGTTTTATAAGCCCAATGAACACTGGAACACTTCCTTTTGAAAAATCACGAAGTAACGGGTGGTGGGAAATGTTAGGATAAAAATGAAAATATTTGAGGGAAATCTACAATCTTCCATATGATGAAATGATGAAAACTATTAACCAGTTAAGTGATTTAGGGCATGTTAATTAATTGCCAAAAGCCCAAAACATGTGCTCCAAGACTTCTTCATAATTTTAAAATTACTGGATATCCATTAGCAATGCAAAATTTAAAGGTCACAAAAACTGTACAGAGCACTATGAATATTTCAAAATGCTTTAAAACAAGAACATTTAAAATGAAATATGTACGAGAAAGCATGTTAGTAATATCCACTGTTTTGATTGATTTATGACACACAGAAAGGATGTGTGGCATCTACTTTTCATGATGATTAAATGGGAATTATTTCCTATTCTGTTTATTTTTGTTGTAATAGCCAAAATCTTCATATTAGCAATCTGCACTTTTATTTTCACAGCTAACATAAATTATCTCACCTTTAGAAAAAGGTCAAACTAAAACTAACAAGTTACTCAACTAAATAAAAATTAATTCCCTTTGCATTCCAAACTTCAAACATTCTTTTTGAATAATGCATTTGGTCTAAAGCAAATATAATGTATTATTACTTGCAAGTTGCTATATGATAATGGAATTTATTTAAGGTAGTGTATTTCCATAACAAGCCAACATTTTCAATATGTTTTGTTTAACTTGGTTATAACATATACATACTCTGGGGGGGGCGGGGCGGGGAAGGTAGGTCTTTTGTGGGAGCAACGCCTTTGAAAACTCTTCAATAGCACAGAAAGCTTTCGGGACAGAAATTATCCCTTATCAAACAAAACTGTATTAAAAAAATCTCATAACAAATGTGTAATTTCTAAATCTGGAAATTATATTGTATAAGAAGCTACCATTTTGAAAAAGTAAGGGTCTACAAAGATTATACATCATCTGTACAGACATACAGGAATATCTGGAAACAAGTTGTTCTATTTGATCTTAAGACACACACAAAACCTAAAAAATAAAAGGTTTATATGCAAACTAGGAGAATAATTCATCTCACTATTCATTTTTAAGTAATCAACAAAATAACCTATTCAAACAAAATATATTAAGCAGATTAGTGCAGGATGATTTGATAGGTTAAATATATTTTCATTAATGTTTATTATCTTTACTGTTTAACTCAAACCAAGGTTCAACTGTGAAACCACTTTTCTCAAAATTTACTTGTTCACACTGTTGACTTACAAAATATTAAGTCAAATAATCTTGAAAATGAGATCACACATGAGAACATAATGAATTATTTCATTTTTAGTATTTGCATGTCAAGAATATATACTACTCAAATTTTCAAATGTTAGAAAAATGATCTAGATAGCTATATAGCTTCCCTTTTTGTATTGTGAGTTGAACATAGGTTTATCTATTTGAATAATTGAGTATTACTTTTGTTTTCCACAACGGAAAAGATTTGTTTACAGAAATGTCTCCATGAGGGCATGCTCTAAGAGGGCCAACCTAATTAATACTCACACACTAGCTGTTGTACAATACTAAATAGTTATAAAACTTCCAAAAGGGGAGACTTTTTGAGTTATAGAAAGTATCTGTTCTTTGCTGTCACAATGCTAAAGGTTCACTGATCTGAGGTAAACGGTGAAAGAGTACATAAAACAAATTTCTAAATTTTTATTTTCTGTCTTTGAACATTTTGAGATCAAGAGCATTTGTGACACTGGATGCTTTTAAAAATGCACATTATATAAAACCTTGAAATACTAATTAAGTATTCAATAATTTCCTTCATAATTATATTTGTTACTAATTTGCAATTACTGAGTTTAAAAATAAGCCCAAAGTTTATTTTACTAGAAGTAGAATGTGGAGAGAATGCTCAGTTCTAGAACTATGTTTAAAACATATCAGAAACCTTTAGCAATACTTTAAAGGCAATTTAAAGGAAAAGGCATTGGAAAAATTATCTCAAAGAAGACTATGACCCATGATTATGTCACTATTCTTGTTGAGCTAAAAAGTACCTTAAAGTTCCCTTTGATCAGTTATGTCACAGGTTATGTCTAGGAGACAAAAGGAAGTTATAAAACTTTAATTTCTAAAAATCCATTGGCTTAGATTGAAAATTCTCTTTTGTTTTCTCTGCCACCTATCTATATTAAAAATAGGCACTTCCCATCTGTTAGAATAATAGCTTTATTCTACTCAATATAGTTTTACGTGTGTGTGCTAGGCAATTTTAAAACAGTTTTGCCCTGTAGATAGAATTTTTATTTATAGGGTTATTTTATGTCCCTAAATACCAATAAAGTAATCATTTGCTTAATCGCTTTGCAGTCATTACCCAATTAATCTACTTTGCTAGGCCCACTTTACAAATGAGGCAACACAGACTCAGATTGAAAAAATCCAGTTGTTGAAGGATCACATAGTCACTAAATGGAGTAAATAATTTAAGCTTAGGGCAACTGATTTTTTAAAGTTAAACACTAGTATTTTTAAAATATAGATTTAAAACTTCATTTAGACCAAACAAACCAAACCATTATCTCTACTTGTCATGTCCCCAAATTTGTTTTTTGAAACTGGTGGAATGACTCCACCATCACCATGCCTGCCTAGGATTGCTGATTTTGATTCACTATTGCTACTTTTCATGAACCAGTCATTTACTGAAGCCTCTCAACAGATGATAGATGGTGTTGTGAAGGATTAAAAAATAGAAAACGTAGGTCCTGCCACTGAGAAACTTACAATCTAAAAATATACTACCCAAAACAGTGAACTATAAGTTGACAGGACTGGCCATATTCAATAGGGATGACATTGTGGAAGAAGTTTACTTTTGATTAGGATTTGTTGGAAAAGAGAAAAAAAATGAGAAAAAAAGGGTAACTTTGGTACAAAGGATTGACAGTGGAAATAAGACTTGTGGAATGGTTTAATAACCCTTCTTTATTTCAAAATGCAATTTTAAATATAGTAATTCAATTCTCTCTCTCTCGAACACACACAAATTACTAACCTTCCACATTCATGGCTTCTCTCAGAACCTGAAGTTTCTTTTGTCTCTCTCGGATTCGGTCCAAAGCACTTGATATTGCTGAGGAGGTGGGTAATTCTCGTGTGTGAAGCACTGAATCTGTTTTCTGAGGGCCAAAGATGTCCAAGGCAATGCTTCCATCTGAGTATCTTGCCTCTTTTTTTCTAGGAGTAGTAGAAGTCCTCACTGATACTGCCCCAGAAAGACAGTGCGTGTATCTGCTGGTCTCACCAGAAGAGAAGTCTCTGTCAGCTGTGCAAAGCAAGTCCAAGGATGAAGCCCAAATCTTCTTTTTGGGAATCACATCACTGCCAGGGAGAACTTTTTTTTCTGGGTCACTAGTTTTGAACTGGTAAGGGGAGCAGATATTTTCAGAATCTTCATTTCCTGAATTATTGTCTGATGAAATGTCCTTGAAATAATCTTCCTCATCTTGTGTGTCTCTGATGGACAGAAATCCCATAGATTTACTAAGCCCTTTGTTAAGAAAGGTCTGATGAGAGAATGGAGACTTGTGTATGTCTAGTACATCAGAAGTAGAGCTTCTTCCTGGAATGATAAGAATCTATCATGTATGCACAGAAGTTCTGGAAAATAACTGGGATGTAACCTTACTATTGACAATGAAAGTATTTCATTGGGAATTTTCTAAATTATCCAAATGGAGGATCAGAGATGAAATGGGATGGTGGAGGTAGTGAAAGGAGAAGTGGAGAGATGCTACGTTTGCATAACTTTTCAAATTCCAATGACTTTTATATAATGAAATAGTAAATTGAAATTTTTTGAGTAGTATTTTATATTCCCCAAAGGTGAATTACGTGGTCTTTTAAAATAAAAGTTTCTAATACCAGTTTGGTGGACTACTAGTTACTCATAAATGTTTTGGGATAACAATAGAATGTAGAGTATATTCCTTTAATTTCTAAAGGTATAATTCAAACATTCATTACTTTAATATAAAGCTCTGGTATACTCTGGCACTTAACAAATATGTTTAAAGGATAGACAAAGAAGTCTTCCAACATTCTAGATGGAAAAAAAGATTGTAGCATTTGGAATTCTTAAGAAATAATGTTCTACTATGATAAGATAATCAGAAAATTTGATTGTTTAAAATTCAGATAGTTTGACTATTGACATTATGTTAGAAACTTAATTTTTCATCTAGTTTACTTTATCAATATTTTAGGTACAAAAACTAATTTTATTTCAACATAAAAACTGTCACATGGAGATTAAATTTCCTTCTACCTATATGTCATAAAATTAAGTGACATAGGCACAGTCATGAAGGATATATAAAGACTGCTCAACTGGAAAGCTTAAGTACCTAAGTTTTTATTATTTCTCACAACTAAAGATTTTTAAATTATTTATTTGAATCAAATTAAAATTTTATAACTAAAATATGTAAATCACTTCAGAAAATAAATGTATTACTTCAAACTGAAATATTAGCTGAATTTTTAAAGTAATTTTCTCAGTGACATGATGAATAAGTGAGAGTAGGTGTGGGGTAGGGAACTTAATTTTTCCATGCACTTTTCATGTACTAAAATACTATTTCCTTGCAAACATAACATATTAACATTTGTCAACAGGAATAAAGTAGCATTCTTGTTTATTCCTTAGTTTTTAATGTAACTAAAACTAGTAAGTCATTCTAATTTTTTTAAGAAAGCAGTCTGCATGTAAATACATTAAGATACAGTAAAAATGCCCCATCAGAAATTAAGTTTTGAATGCAGATTTAACATCAAAACACTCGTGTGTGTGTGTGTGTATGTATGTATCTATATATCTTCAGTATTGAGGAAAAAAAACCAGAAAATAAAATTTTAGTTACCAACCCTGTAACACAGATTTCCTGTGTACAACGCTCTGGGATTCCTCTTTAATTACCCATTTATATATGTAATACAAAGTAATGATTAAAACTATCCTCGCAATAATAGATTGTTTATTACTCATTTGAAGAAGTCAGTTACTTCTTCATTATAACAACTATAACCTTCAATTACCTGACTACAAATTTTATCTTAAAAATCTTAGAAAAGCAAATTCACTTCAGAATGGCAACAAACAATTGCTTATTGGATAATCAGATTCAGACATTGTGTTTTTCTTATAACTCATCTTCCCCTGAACATGGATCCACGTAAGCGCAAATAAGGATAACATCAATATTTGGGGCATGTCATATAGGAAATATATGAAAGACTAGGGTATTAAGAGAAACACACCACACCACATCCAGACAAGATTGTCATAGAGTCTAGCTTCTAATCTAAGATACTAAAATGCTGCCCATGACAGGGATAAATCATATTCTTGAACAAACCATATTTTGAAACTCATTAGTTTAAATTTTTATTTAAAAAAGAGGATACTTTTGAAAATAGAATACATTAGATAATAAATGAGAGTTGAAAGGATTTAAGGATCATAAACCACAGAAGAACTCAACAATCTGCCTTCTTATACTATTTTGACTACCAACAAGTAATAAAAACCTGGAGAAAATTAAATGAATATTCTGACAACACCATAAATTCAATCACTTTGGAAATTCAATTTATGTGTTAACAGTAAGTTCACTCAATTTCTATAATAACTATATTACTTTTCTTCATTCTTCAAGTTTTCCACCTTAACTCTCTTCTGTTTTAGCTGATGCCCTTGTTTCATATTTCACCAAGAAAATAATTGTCAGAAGGATTTTTTTTTCATTTTTCCATGCCTAATTCTATTAATCTAATAATGTCCACAAATCCTTACCCTGATGTCTCAAAGGATAAAATTTTCTACTAATTGAAAGTCATATTGCAATATGTGTTCAATTCTCTTCTTTTTACTTTTACCAAAAATATTATTTCTTTGGTTAACTTCTCCCTTCTGTGTGCACATCTTCATTAATCCCATCTCTATTGACTCATTCCCATTTATATACAAACATGCTGTAATAGCTCCATAATTAAAAACCTAAGTAAACAAACTCTCTACTTTGTTACATTTCCCTCTAGCTACTGCTTTCTTCAAATTATCACTTTCAAGTCATTATTCGACCCACTTTAATCAGCTTCCAACTCCTACACACCTTGACAATTCTCATCACATTATCAATAAAGAAATTCTTATCGACAAATCCAGTAGACACATACGTATCCATATCTTACTTTTCTCTCAGCAATAATTGATACTGGAGAAAATTCCTTACTGAATCTCCTTTCCCTCTTTATAAGCCTGTTTCCTTCTACTCAAACTGCTTCTCTTTATTTTGCTTTTTCATACTCTAATGGGATGTATTGGACTTCCTCAGGTAATCGTTATAGAACCTTTTGTATTCTTTCCTTAAATAATTTCACCTATTAAGAAGACTTTAAATATTTTCTACGTATTCACAACCCTCAAGTTATATTATTGGCACCCACCTCTTTTGGTAGTTCCAATCTTAGGTAACTGATTACTAATATTAGCTCAGAAGCATCTTAAGCTATACAAGCTTAAACTTATTTTTTGCTTTGCACATTCAGAGATGTCCATTCTACCCTAGCCTTTCTTATTTCAATAAAAGGCACCAATATCTAACTTATTTGAGCAAATCAGAAATACCGTCACCATCCCAAAATTCTCATCCTTCTTATTTCCTGTATTAAATCCACTAGAAAGAGCTGGTTATTTAAATTCTCAAAGATATCGTACTCCGTGTGATATCTTCCACTGGTATCATCCTATGCCCAGTTATCACTTGACCAGAAAACTGCAATGTGCTCTAGATATACCTACCGACTTCTACTTTCTTCAAACAACTATTCTCAACTTAGCAGCCAGAACTATCTTTTCAAAATATAAATTCCATGATTTTACAACACTGTTTCAATAAGCTGAAAGGCATATTGTCCTCTACATAAAATTTATGCTTCTTTTGGATCTGCTATTTGAATCCTTTTTAGCCTCCTCTCCACTTCCCTTATTCCATTCAGACCACACATTTTACTCTATTAAGGTCTTTTACATGTTAAGGGCTTTGTGATCTGCTCTGAATGGTCTACTTCAGACCCTTCGTATGGCTAGCTGCTTTTTATCCTATACTTTTACTTTAAACTCCCCCAACAACTTTTTTAAAGATTTATTTATTTATTTATTTAAATAGGTCACTTTGCAAATGTATCATGAGTCTATTACGTTTGCATTACGTAACTCTATCATTCTTTTAGGTGATTAGTATTTACTAATCAATATATCAGTGAGCCACTGTATCCTGACAGTTTTCTGTCTTCTCACTAGCTATTTGAGGCCTAAACGAATTGCTAATAGGGCGGTTCTTAGATAATAATGCTTTATAGTTTTAATTCTCTTCATGTGTAGGGTAAGGAAAAAGTATCAGGCTTTTCCGCCCTCTCGCTATTGGGATAGATGAGGGAACCCTGTGGTCCTGAATGCATGCCTGATGGCGGGCACCTGAAGTGGGTACACCTGGGCTGAGAGACTGAGTTTAAAAGGGCGGCATCATGGGGACGCCAGCAGAAGCCAAGAACGAACAGAAGCCGAGGGAAGAAGAAGAAAAACAGAGAGAACGCCAGATAGAGCCCAGATAGAGTGAGGATTTGCAGGGGACTGGGAGGACTGCCAGCCTCCCGGCCCCCCAGGACTCCTGTCTGCCATGTGCCTGGTAAATTTAAATAAAAAAGCTGCAAAAGCCACTGAGGGTTCCAGGACTCCTCCTTTACCTGATCTGCTGGATCAGAAAACCTTCTCAGTGGCCTGTCCTGCCCTTACATCATGCAAAATAAGTACATATAAAACATTTCAATTCATATTTATCAGAAGTCCAGAAAGCTTTCATTTTTAAATTCTGCAAGGCAGTACAAAATTATAATGAAAATAATTCATGTAAAAGTTTGCACTAACTACTACTCTGTTTCTACATGACAACTTTAATTAAATTTGCTGTTTCAAAGTCACATTATAGATAACTTAAAATTTGATGATTATTACTTATAAAAGATGATTTTTTAAACCATAATTAAAGCCTCTACTAGGAGCCAACAGGACCAAAACAAGGATGGTGAAATAGGAAGTGAAGGGAGAAAGGAAGAAAGGACCAGGTATTGATACTATGAAGGAAACTGGGCAAGAAGTTGTGAAGGTGTGAAACAAGGTACAAAGTGATATGTATAAACTTGTTGGAAATGGCCTAAGTAAAACTGTATGAGCTGTGAGCAACATAACCATTAATGAAGAAACTTAGATGACCCTTTAAAGGAAGAGAAAGGAAGGAAAGAGATGCTTTGAGGTAGTTTCTCCAGTAACTATATTAGCGTAGGGTTGCTTTTGTTTGCTTTTTGGAGGAAAAGGGAGATATACTCTAGGTAGGTATACAGGTACATGGTAGAAAAGTGGATTTCAACTAGTACAAACACTATTCTTAACTCATATAATCCTAATTGGTAGGAATCTCAATGAGTTTTGAAACGTCAATGAAGTTTACTATCTTTAATTATATAGCTAGATATATAATTACCTGGTTAACACTTCACAGCTGT